GAAGCCAGAGAGGATGAAGAGCGAGTGTGGGGAGTGGGGCAGGGGCAGGCACAGCCGGACAGGTGTCGGTAGGGTGGGTGTGGGGGTGGTGTGGGAGCTGGGGCAGAGGAGTTTGTGGGGGAGGGGCTGGCACAGCCTCTGAGCTGCCCCTAAGGGAGGGCCTGGTTTGCAGAGGGTTGTGCCTTAACCTCCCTCCATCAGCAGCCTCAGGGTGCCCTTCCGGTCTCCCATAGCGGCGGAGGTGATCCGAACATCCCTGGCTACTTTCGGAGAAAACCTTGACGTACCCAGAGTGCTCAGCGTGGCTGGGAGAATCCTGACTGTGTCAGTCCTACAAGGGCCTGGGCTCTGGTGGGGCGCCCAGTGGAGGGAGGGGCATTTTCATGGACAGGGGAGGTGCCTGAGTGTTAGGGCTCAGCAGGGCGCGGTCTCTAACCCAGGGTAGAATCCTGACTTCTGACTGGATTTTCCTTTCTCTCACTTTCAGGAGATGGGTGGCCCAGGACCAAGGACAACTCCAGGCAGTGTTCAACGCCTTCCTTAACGACCTGTCCATGCTTTTGCGGACCATGCGGCGTTTCGGGCCCCCATTTCCCCTCGAATCTCTGCCAGGAAAAGGAGGATGAGGCCCAAGCTTCCATGCCACATAGTGCATCCCTCCCTAAGCCCTAAATTCCTGCATGTATTGCCATGTCCTTGTTGAACCCTAACTTTTTTTGCCTTTGTTAGTTATTCATTGGGTGCTCGGGGCCCACTTGTTTAGTGTCCCTGTTGCTGGACAAGAGACATGACTGAATGTGTGTCACTTCACAAAATAAAGTTGAGCAATGATTCCGTGCCTGAGTTTCTTTCAGCTAAAGCATCTCCCTGTTCTAGCTTTTGGCCTCTGAGGACGATGGCACCTTCCCACGGGGGACACATACTTAGGAGGGAGGGAGAAGTGGAGCTAGTACACACCAGCTGGGTATAAGTAGCTCCGGGGGAAGAGCATTCACAGCCCATGGACAGGAGGTCAGGAGGGGAAGGATGTTTGCTGCTGGGGTGGGGGCTTCGTTCAGCACCTGCAGGACTCAAAGCAAAGGTCAGAGGAAGAGGGCTCCAGTGGGCTGAGGGCACTGTGCCCTGGTACCTGACCCCAGGGGTCTCGCCCAAAACTTCCTGTGTGGGATCAGCCACTGCCCTTGATGGAAAGAGAGCTCAGGAACCAGGAGCCCTCTCCTGGCCATTTCCTTGGCTGATGCTCAATGGGAGGGTGATGATAAAAGGTGTCTCTGTCCAGGGCAATGGGAAGCTGGGGAGAGGGGTCACCTTTGCTGGGGTGAGAGGAGGGTCTGCTTCCTCCCCTGGAGAGCCCGCAGTCCCCTGCCAAGTCTGCTCACCGCCCCCACCCCGCCCAGACTGCTCCCTGCTCCCTGCTCACGGTTCCAATCGCTCATCTTCAAGAGCTTTGCAAACCTTTACCCAAACAGCAACCAGAACAAGAGATTCTTGAATGGATCGTGGCGTTTATCTGGGGGAGAGATGGACCTTGGAATGGGAATACGTATGCCTTAACTAACTGTGAGCACAGATGAGCAGGCTGAATCAAGGGGAAGGGTTTCAAGATAAAAATGAGCAGGATTCAATCATAGACATATTGCTAGGTGAACGTCGTTGAAGAAATGTTTCTTCTATCAGGTTGTGGTGACCTTTGTGCAAGGTTGTGTTTCTGAAAAGGGTTCAGCAGGCTCAGGGAAACGATTGGGCTGCACAGGAGAGCTCTGGGAGGGTCAGCTGAGTCAGGGGAAGGAATACGGGACTGGCACTCAGAGCTTAGGTTGTGCTTCCAGTCTCAACCCGTGCCCAGAAAAGGCCCATTTCTGCTGTCACTCAGTTAAACTAGTACCAAGAGACAGAGTCACGGGATAAGGAAGACCGTACGTGCACAACTATCAAGTTGGGAGATGGTCACTTCAGTCCTAAAAGACAACAGTCATGCAAAACTATGATATTCCTTGGGATTTGCAGGCGCCAGGCTTGTAGAGGGATGCTGGGCAGGTTTAGCAGATAGCCGGACCCCAGATAGTAATTTTGTGCAGCCTGCTTTTCTGATGTACAAGCTGCTATTCTCTGAAGGTCACCAGATATCCTGGGTTCGGTAAATCTGGAGAAAAGTTACTAAAAGCAGGTCTTGTGGCTTGGGTTTCAGTTCCTGTTCTCAGGAATAGTTAACTTTGTAGCTGATGCATGAGATACAAAGGCTTGTTTTCCCAGAGAGCAGAGGAAGACAGTGAAAGGCACCTTTTACCAGAGAATGGTGTGTAACACATCGGGCAGTTTCCATCAGAAATGCCACTTGTACCAAAGATGGGGGTGGCATATTGTTCAGGTGTGGGGTCTCCAGAATTAATGGGTTTCAAAGTCAACTTAAAGTCCCTAAAGCTGCAGGTTTCTTGAGGTTTTCCTTCGGTCACAGTTAAGCGTCTTGAAGATACATGCATATCAGATTTTATAGGGGCCACAGTGCATCTGTTGGCTGGCTGCTATACTTGTGGACGGATTGTGATGAATTTCATTAAGAGGCATCACAATAGCGACCATGCTTCTGTTTCTATGTTACTTGGCTGAGGCAAAGTCTGGTCTTGGTGACAGCAGTTGCTGCTTCTGAGCAAGGGCGCCATGTCTTTTCTGCCCCTTCGTGCAGGCGGGAACTGTCTAAAAGGCCCAACTGACCCTTGCGAGTGACCCTGGTGTGCCAGGCCCTGGGGCAGCAGGCTGCTTGCATGGCGGCTTTAATTTTCAGGCCGTTCTGTGTGTCCTCTACCACCATTCTTTTGGGGATACTTTGCAGGTGGTAGGAATCACACCCAAGGCCTTTGTGCTAAACTACATCTCCACCTTATTTTTAAATATTTATTTCACAACATGGTCTTGCTAAGGCTCTGACTTACCCAGGCTGTGCTGAAATTCCCAATCCTCCTGCCTCAGCCTCCCAGAATGCGGGCATTACAGCTGATGCCACCATGACTACCCAAAGGCACACATTCTTCCTAAATTAACTGTGACTGTGGTTGACATTGAGGACGGCTGCGCTGCTCGTGCAGGTCTATTTAGGCATGTGGAAGAGGACAACACAGAAGGCACCACTGCAGGTGAGATGGCAAATGTGGCACTGCCTGGGAGACTCTGCAGGGGACACTATGGCAACAGTATTTGACAGGATCCTGGCCAGGGCCTGGTGGGTGGAGAGGTCCTTCCAATGACAAAATTGTTATTCAGAGCTCACACAGCAGAGGGTGCTGGGGACATCAAACAGCCAACATAGAAAATATACCCGGGGCTGGGGATTTAGCTCAGGGGCAAAGCGCCTGCCTGGCAAGTGCAAGGTCCGGAGTTCGGTCCCCAGTACTGGAGAAAAACCAAAAACCAAAAAAAAAAAAAAAAAGAAAGAAAATATACCCTGGCCAGGGAAATAGCTCAGTGGCACATGTGCTTGCCTGGCAAGCACAAGGTCCTGGGTTCAAATCCTGACAAAAAACCAAACAAACAGAATTCCCGGGGTGTCTTGAAATCTATATTTTGTTTAAAAGTTATGAGGTTGGAGGAGGGTGGAGGAGAGGCTGAGACAGCAGGCCCAGCTCTGAAGACCAAAGTGTTCAACAGCAGGCTCATTGTTGCCTGCTTGTCCGTGGATTCATCTTCACTTTCACATCGTCTTTGTACAGTCTTCCTTTTCTTGCCTTTTCAGTCCTAAGAGCTCCACCATAGATACTTACACTACATTTCTGTTGGGACCCTCTCTCTCTCTCCTTCTCCTCCCACTTTCTGTCTCTTGCCTCAGTGGAGAGGGCAAGATGCTGTCCTGCTGGAATCATTTATGGTCTCCAGAAGGAAAGCAATGGCTGGAGCGGCTTTTCAGTAGACTGGGCCCCAAGGCATATTGTTTGTGTTCACACACAGCAAGCTACGTCCACCTCTGCCAGGCCTTGCCCTCTGCAGGGTTCTGGGGACACAGGGTCAAGTCCCACTCGAGTGCCTCACGCACATCCAGCACCACAGAGAGCCACCAAACTTTATATGAGGTCGGGACTTTGAAAAGCACATTGGGGTTGTGCAGGCTCGCGCCCAGTGGGAGGGATGTGGCCTGACAGTGGTGGCACCTGTATCCCTTCCAAGGAGCCCGCTTGGGGCCCTGCCCTGTGCTCTCCCCATCAACAGAGGGCAGGGCTGCCAGCTGGCCCTGGCCACATCCTCATGCTCGCCCTCAGCCTCTGTGCACACCAAGCTGCCCCAACAGGAAAGCAGCATGGGTGACCGAGACAAATGTTGCAACAGGAAAGCAGCATGGGTGACAGAGACAAATGTTGCTGCAGGTGCCAGTGTCCTGGGCAAACCCCCCTGGTGGGTGCTGACAGGGGCCCACATCCTCAGCTAGCACTCTGGGCTGGGACCTCCCGGTGGGGCACTTGGGATGCAGGGCGGGGTGCAGGACAGTCCCGGCCGGGCTTGGCTCCTATTGCCCCCAGAACTCAGTGAGGGGATGGGCCCCCATGGAGCCCACCGGTGGGCCGACCCTGTGGGCATCGTGGACCCAGCAGCTTCCTGAGGCCTCCAGGCCTGAGGCAGGGCCTGAACCTGTCTCCCTGGGTCTGTGGAGGGCATGGCCACGGTGCGCCTTGCAGAACTGGCGCTCTTGTTACCTCAGTCCCTTCGTGGCCAAAGCCTTCTCTGGGACTTGGGGCTGGGCCAGCTAGGAGGCGACCACACACTGAGGCGCCCATTGTTGTGTGTGCGCTGGGCTGCTGGGGGCGCGCTGGGCGGGGCTCCGGGAGGCCTCCCCTCCCCCTTTGCCTGACAAGCAGAGTTTTGGGCGGGAAGAACAGCTTGGCCACAGACAGCCTGTGGGAGATGCAGTTTGTGCCGCCGCGTGGGGCCTCGATGTGCACTGTTGGGGAGCTGAGCTTCGCAAGTACCTCCTGTGCTAGGCAGAGCCCGAGCTGAGGAGTCCTGCTCACAGCCGAATCTGAGGGAAAGATCCAGGACAACCATGCAGGCCCGTGCCGGTGCCTCCGGTGTTGCAGGTGGCCGGGAAGATGAGCAGTGTGGCAGCAGAATCCTTAATGGCCAGGGTGGTACCCGAAACCAGGGTGGCATGGGCTTGGTACGTGTCTCTGGCAACTAGGATGGCACAAACAGGACAGCAGTTTCACAGATTGTTCTTGTACCTAACGGCAAAGGGCAGATTATGCTTATGTCTGCTTGCCCGGCTCTGTATCCTTCGGGACGTGGCCGCCGTGGTCCTGGACGCTGGGGACCAGGGAGGCATTGGGAGCAGGGGCTGGGACTCAGCCGGCCCAGTGCTGCAGGGATGGAGACCAGGAGAAGGGAGGCCGAAGCCAGAAGGCGGGCGGGGTAGGGCCACGGTGCCTATGGAGCAGGGGTGGGGGCCGTCCCTGTCACACAGAGCAGGGAAAGCTGGAGAGGAAGAAGAGGGAGTGGGGGGCGGGACACAGCTGGAGGGGTGGCAGTGGCGTGGGGTGGGGGTGGAGCAAGGGAGCTGGGGGAGAGGACGGGGTGGGGGAGGGGCGGGCATAGCCTGAGAGCTGCCCGGGAAGGAGGGCATGATTGGCAGAGGCTTGTGCCTTAACCTCTCTCCATCAGCACCCTCAGGGTCCCTTTCGGGTCTCCCATAGAGGCGGAGGTCGCGGAAGGATTCCTGGCCATTTTCAACGAATACCCCAGCATTGACAGGGAGCTCACCACGAATGGCAGCATTCTGATTGTGTCAGTCCTGGGAGGGGTTGGCTTTGTGGGGAGGGTGGCCAAAGTACAAGGAGGACTGTTCTAATGGAG